ACTTTATTATTTTATGCATTTTTCACGCATAAAACGTCTACCTGCTTTATATATGCCACCCCCTACTTTTTTGGCTTGGAAATTTTGGAAAAAAAGGGTGGCTTATACATGGGGAAATACGGTACTTCAATAATTTATAATAGATTCGAAGTATACTCACTTCGAATATAAGTAATATGTTTATTTCAAATAGACCAATTTCCCATTTTTAAGTCTTCATTATGAAGCTTTGAGGTGGAACTGAGTCGGTCTTTTCACTGTCGGACAACGGCAAAGGCTGAGATCATGCTTAGTTCGACTTGGTGGTACAGTGCACCTCGATGGATTGGCGTCCGTCTAATCTGGGAAGGGAGATCAGACAATCTATATCCGTCCATCTTGGACTACGTAGATAGTATAATCTTCTCGGACGTGAGGTATAGTAAAATTTACTGGAGGTGTGTGTCTAATGTGGGAAAATTGTCAAATGTATTTTTTTACCATTATCCTACAAGCATTTGTCTGTGATGAATATAGCAAATGAATGTATACGAATGAAATTGAGAATCGCATTGTCCAATTTCCTCCTCTCCTCTACAACAACCAACCAACCAACCAACCAACCGGCCACTTATGTCCTCCTCCTGGGCAATACGGCCTTAATTTACCATTCTGCCTGGCAACTGCTTCTCCTCCTTGCGCATAAGTGGTCTGCAATCTCGTATAAGCGTTGACCGTGAGCCTCCAGCTATAGGCCATATTTCCTCAGCGTTAATTCAATCTATTGTGCAATCCCGTCTCTGATCAGTTTTGTCAATCTCCAATGGATGAATGCATATCTCGAAAATGCTGTCTTCCACTCCTCGCGGTCGAATTCACCACGGAGTGAAGTCGGCCAGCAACCAGAGGGGTCTGACCAGATGGCCTGGTTTTATGTTCGTCTGCTGGAGACAGTTGGACGGTTGCAGATTGAGTCGGTAACAAGGAGGGCATGGACAGTGGCATGAGGAAGGGGGCACCGGGAGGAGGCTAAGCGACGGAGAGAGCGAAATTGAACCGGGTTTAGAGGATGCTCGAAAGGCACTAAGTTACGTGCCTACTAGAGACATTCCAGAAGGTAGTGTTTAAGTGTTCTCAAAAAATGAGCTTGCACAGCCATTTTCACTGCCCCCGTAAGAAATCGTTTATTTTTTACTTGCTTAACATGCATGATTTCTCACATCTGGTATCGCTGAGAGGGTTTGCTAGCAGACTTGACGCACTAATCAAAGGGATAGATGGAAATATGTCACTATATTTGCTGCCAGGTAACACTTCCTTGGTGAAAGGCAAAACCGCAAAGTGTGTGAATGTGTGTTAGAGCAATTCACGAAGATAAATAACAATCCAAGCTATGATGATTAGGTCATAGAAACCCAAATGTGACTACCAAGATGATGTGGTCTTTCGTTTGGTCACAGTCTCCTTTTCCTCTACCATCTTAGTTTGACCAAGTTATTATCATTTTTTTGAGTTTTAGCTAATATTGTCAGGATTTGTAATCTAATATCATCCGGCTTCCTTCCTAATGCATTTGGGCCAATTATGTATAGTGCGTTAGCACATCCTCTATCCTCCTCTAATCAGATTACACAACCTCATAACATGAATTAATAAATGATTTGGCTCACTCTCGTTTCTTGTTGCAGTCTTTATGCTATAACGCCGCTATGAGTAGTATAAACGAAAACTGACAATCATCTTAAATGTGGATAAAGGAATTAATTGGTTGCTATCCCAGAAAAACCGGATTTTATTTTATTGCTCGAATTAAACGTTGTTAGATCGTTAGTTTCAAGTTAAGACGACGGAATGTATGCACAATTAAATTGCTTTCCCATGTTTACATAAAATCTTTAGTTATTAGGTCAGATATTACATGCAAGAGGGCCAAGCGAAATATATATGATAAGGACGAACATAATTATTTCTTATCAGGATAGCCTAGTTCGCTTTCATAGTAGAGTTAGTCTACTCATTACTAAGAATGCTGTGGATGATTATGACATACTTCTTCATATCATAGCGGACTTTTACAGGAATCCGACTATAAATATAACAATTATTTGAAGTTATTAATGTTCGCTATTGTATTTATTATGTAATCATTCAAAATAATAACTCAATAAAGCCCAGAAACCATAGTTGCAGTCATTGTTCACATTTATTGAGACAAGTTAACTGTAATACTTTTCACCTTTCTATCCTGCTTGTTCAGATAGACCAGTTGAACGAGATTGGCGTCAAAGTAAATTTTTCATGTACGTTATTTGACCTTGTTTTCGCAACTTGGTCACATTGTCAGAAAGACCGAAAGAAACGCACCTTGTCCGGAGTCCATAGTATACATGATAATTTCCAGAGTTGGACCGTGAACGTGGTACATTCACAAACGTTTCGACTGTATCGTAGTCGACATCGTCAGTGAGCATTGCTAGTCTTAGCACCACAATACAACTCGTCAAAGGGATAAATACCCCGTCCACGGTTGGACTCTGGAAATTATCATACATACAAAGGACTCCGGACTAGGTGCGTCCCTCTAGGCCTTCTTACCAATATGACCAAGTTGCGAAAACGAGGTCAACCAACTTCTCTGCAACGAAAGAAACCGTGATCATACAAAAGGCCACACCATCCTGGTTTTCATACCTTTGATTAATTTTTCATGATTTATGCGCATTGTATTGCACAAGAGAGACATCAACGATTCTGTGATCCTCCTCCAACTTAAAAGTTAGTAAATTTTTAAGTTTTACCTGAGACAACTTATAATTTGGAGTTGTGATTATGTTCAGGTCAGGTGCCATTTATTACTCTGAACACAGCTTAAATCTGCGAGGTCGTATTTTTGTATAACCTTATCTAGTTCGAGAAATTACAGATGCGATAAACTGTCAGAAAATGCAGCGCCTAAAAAGTATTTTTACTTTATGATAACCCTATTTAATGTTGCATAATGTTGAATATATTCTAAATGTGCTTAGTTACAGGCAATTGTACAATGTATAATACAACAATAAATTATGCAATAAGCGATGTTAATGAACGATTAGAATATCTACATTTATAATAGAGGCCTAAAATTTACCAGAAACTTAAAAAACGGAAATGTTATAATACGAAAACTGGAAGAAACTGGTATAAGCTTATGACAATCAACAACCTGGTATCTTAGCGCCAAAACTATCTCTAACGCAAAAACGTTATTACTCTAATTCGTAGTAGTCTGCCAGTCCTATTGTTACCATCTGATTGAAGAAATGTTGAAAAAAGCAAAAATAAACAGACCGGAAATTTCTGAGAGCGTTATCTTTTCCTTCTGCTATTAGTTATTAATTTAAGATTTAAATTCATCGCCAAGACAGACAATCTTACCTCAAAAGGCTCCTATACACTATGATCTACCATGTTCCAACGGGTCTCTTTAGTTACTGTGATAATTATGTTGAGTTTAGTAAGCCATTCACTGAACCCATTATTAGAGGTTAAAGTAATGCCATAAAGCGAATTTATCCAAAATCCTTCTTCTCTCACGTCTCATGTGCTTGATGGTTCTTTATATGTGCACACAACTCACACGGCGGGCTTTATTAGCACAAGGAGGGGATATTCTCACTAAAAGGAGGTAAAAAGTGTACTATTCTTATTCTTTATTTCTTTTTGATAACTTAATTAAGCGATTTTAACCTGGTAAACTGCACATTTCATCATCCGACATAGAAATGTATATCATCAACTCATGCCCTTGTAATTGACTGAGTAGTGTGAGTAAACATTTGAAAATTCCTCTCTCCTTAAGTGCGCCTCAATATAGCCATATTGCAAATGATTGCCTTGGGATGGTGTTTCTTAATCATGAGTTGGTTATGTATTCGTAACAGTACAAACGGAGTAGTCCCAGTTATAAATCGTATCTAAAATGTATCAGTGCCATTTGTAGTTCAAAATTCGACTCTGTATTTTTTTTAAGTGTCATGTTAACCAAGTCATAGCAGTTGCTTCAATAATTTATCTTTATATTTTATATAGAATGTGTTAAATTAACGTTTATTCCTAGCCGGAAAGCTAAAATGCGAAATTTGTGCCACTGAGATGCAAGACAGCTGGCCTTAATAAAAGTGTACCCAAAATGAAGGGTTTGAAGGATCTCCAGAGGGTTTGACATTTAGCAATTGTCTAGGTCAGCCGACCTCTAGCATAGAAAGATTGTTCCATAAAGGATGCCATCCAGCAAGGAAGTGAAGGGAAAGTATATTGGGAATAGCAAAATACGATTCACACTGTACCTCACTTCTAAAATCGATCTTACCTACTGCAAAGCATAGTCGGAATTCAATGAACGATAGATTGATAGATAGACTAATTAAATATTGGAGTCTAGTTCCTACACTTAGCAATGTTTATTGGCTGTGTAAAAAAAATTTGCGGTACAAAAGATGATATACGTAGGTGTGAGGGCTTCATGTTTGCTTTTTTATGTGCTATATTTCTTGTTCTCGGAAATGCAGAGTCTACCGATGTGCCCGGTAGACTGTGTCGAACGATGGGATACACGTTATTATTACCCCAACCTCTGAAGAAGACAGATGAATGAAGAAGATACATTTAAAGATAATATGTTCAGAATGCTAATATCCGCTCGGCCAGATTGACTAGATGAGGGAAAGTGAAGGAAAGACGCTGAAACGTCTAAATAGATGAGCTCACTTCCATTTCGAGTGAACGTGGGATGAAGAAAAGTATTTTGGTCTGATTCATCAAAATGTTTCAGCGATTGCTTCTTGATCCAGTTGTCTATTGGTTCCACCAGACTCGGCCTTCGAGACGATCACCTTTGGTTTCGGTAAAACTGTGTTGTTGTTGTTTTTGTTGTTGGATATCATCAGAGTTGGTTATTTCAAGCTAATGAGCCAGGAAATCTCACCAGAATATTCCTACATGCAAAATATATGTTTCAAACCGATGAAGTTTGGGATCCATTATTAATAAATGCATGTCTGTGCATTTGGGTATTTGTTATGCGTGCATGTCCATGCGTGTGTACATCCAACTTTGATAATGTCTGCCAAAGGGAAGGAGAGAGGAGATTACTTCGAGAGTTGCATCACACAGGTTTCTAGTTGGGCCAAACAACTAACGACTAGGAGGAACTTGCTGTAGTAGTCTGAAACAATCAGCTCTCACAAATCCCCTTATTACTCAACTTCTACTACAAATGCAAATAAATCAGGAAGATTTATCGAATTGCCACTTTTATTAATATTTTCTATGGGCTTTCTTACTGGAGAAAGCAGCATCAGATCCGAATTAGGTATAAGAATTGGATACGATTGCAGTCAACCACTTTTAATAGTTTTGCGTATTGGTACCTTTTTATGACTCAGCGCATGTCTGTTACCACGGGACAAATAAACCCTCATCATGGATGAATCAGGGTCTCAGAACTGTGAAGCAATGGCTTCTTCTCAAATTAAAAAATCTTCAATTATAAGACAATCCGATCAAAATCACAAATCCATTCCGATAAACTTTTCCCCAAAAGTTACACTAACTTATAAAAGGATTTGCATTCTCCTAATTTCGTTTAGTGTGAAGAAGGACGGATAGTTGAATCTTCACACAATCATATGAGTAGAGCTGATTCTTCCATCGAATTTCACATAGCCTAGCCTTCCCAAAAGATATTCCCATCTTGGTTGGACTGCAGTTTCGACCTCGCCTAGGTCTCATCGACACTCTCAGTGGAACTCGAACCATGACAGTACAGCATATAATCTCGACACATTAACCACAAGCCACATCGTTACGAGTGCCCTTGGATCACATGACATGATAATTGCAAGGAAGACCAGAAATTTTCCCATATCACATTCTTTGGAGGGATTGTCGACGAGGCAAAGTTATACTTCTCATATAACTAATTTACTGGTAGTCTCGAAACCCAACTTAAAAAGGGAAAATAAGTAATGTACGCGATTGTCGTACCAAATAATATGATATGGTAAAATGCCTGCCTTCCAAGAAATTCACATTTACCCTCTGACCTAAAGACACTCGTGGCAATGTG